TACTTATCCCCAAGTAAGTGCTATGAGGAAACTGAGGATGCTAGGATGCACCATGACTGTGTGACATTCCTTTCCCTCCAGGGGCTCCAGTGAATTAGAGAAGGCAAAACAAATAGCTATTTCATCATTGTTGTGACAAGGACTCGAAAAGAAAACACTTGAGCACACAACATCTCATTATGGTCCTCAGTAGTAGTTAGGTGAAGAAGAGGCATGGAAGAAGACAGTAATGTCACTTGCTGGAGTGAGGAATACTATAAAAGAACTGATTTGCAGGGAAAGAATCGTGAATTCAGTCTGGGAAACATTGAAGTGCCAACATGCGGAGTAGTGCCTGTGAGACAGCCAAGTAAAAACAATCCATTGGGTGGTAGAGTGGACAAAGAGTACTGGAAATATGGGCTGGAGATAGATTTTTTTTTTTTTTTTCAGTGCTGGGCATTGAACTCAAGGGTCTCAGGCTTGCTAGGCAGGCACTCTCTCCCTTGATGGAGATAGGATTTTGAGAGTCGGTATATGAAAGGCAACCACAACTGGATAAGGTACTTATAGTAAGGAGGTTAGGCAGAGAGGATGGAGGAAGACAGAATGGAGTATTGACATTGCTAACTACTACTAAGAGGTGGAGTGAGATGAGGACCCAAATGGAGGTAGTAGACTAATAAGCTGGGCCCCCAGAGGTTGAAGAGCTCAATGCCAATGGCTGGGAAGTAGAAGTGTTGAAACAATAGTAGGGGGTAACTTTGACTACAAAGCAGAGCAGAAGAGAGGGACTGACAGCTGAAGGGAGAATGAGATCAGGGAGGGAAGAGGTTCTCTTTCTGAGATAGCAAACACTTGAGCACATTTAAATACTGTTTGCAAAGATCTAAGAAATCAGGAAGAGGAAGAAGCTGAAGGGTTGGAAGAAAAGGGCTGAGCACTGACAAAGGTTTTGAACTCTAGCGTGCAGTAGGAAGTGCGGGATGTAGGTGCAAGGAAAGAGAGAGGAGGAACATGGGGGTGGAGACCCATGAGAGAGGTGCCTGGATGTTCCCTGCACCAGCAGTGTCATGTCAGGACAGCTTGACGGCTTTTATTTTCTTTTGTGACCCTCGAACCTGTCAGTAAGCATTTGTTTCTGCCACTGTCATAGTTTCAGAAAGTTCTAGACAATGAAAACAATGGAATGCTACTTATTTACTTTGCCACTACCTGCTTTTGGTGAGCCATGCAAGGGAGGGAGCCAACACTGAGTGAAGCTGTGACTTACAGATTTTTTTGCTTATTCTTATTTTCATTTACAGTGGTAAGTAACCTTTCCATTTCTCAATTTTAGGCCTTTTCTGATGCCATTAAAAAATGGCAGGAGCTCTCACCAGAAACCAGTGGAAAAAGGAAAAAGAGGAAAGAAATGAATCAGTATTCTTACATAGATTTCAAATTTGAACAAGGTAATGAGCGGAGTATGACTGATGGTGTGTGAAGCTGCAGTCTAAGCTTTCCCCTTCCGCATGGTTACTGAGGCACTCATGGTACTGGCTGCTTATGAGGTCTGGACAGGGCTAAGGAGTGACTGACAAGGACTATTTTGATAGCACATCACAGTTGGTCAAAAGTGGCTATAGTCATTGGCTTCCTCCTTCCAGATTAGGGTATATTAGGGTAGGAAAATTTTGTGTGGTGGACAGGTAGGGATGCTATTAAGCTTGAGAAAAAAAAAAAGTAGTCTTAAAGGTTGGATGAGAATCAGCTGTGTTGTTAGTACCAACCAACTAGACTAGTGACTGACTGTGTACCATAGTGGGGTGGCCTACACACCAAGAGTGTGGTCAATAGCACATGATTTTCTTAAGACTCTACTACTTTTATGGAGGAAATAACTGGTAAAGGCCCTTCCAGAGAGATTACTTCAGGTCAGGTCCCCCAAAAGGGTAGACTTTTTGAATTTTGTAACAGATTTCACCTGAGTTGTGTGTATCCAAGAAAGAATTCATTCCACCTTTTTCTGTAGGCTGTGTCACAAAAAGGAATATTTTCTTTTTTTTTTCCCCCTCCTGTTTGTCTTCTGTTATATCCATACTAACTGACAAAACTTGATTTCAAGGATAACTAAGTGGAAACTCCATAAAGTAGCTATAGAGTTGGAAAGTAATTCCTCAGAGTCTAGCTGCTCAAATTCTAAGCTGTGACTCCAGAGGTCTCTCTGCTAGGCTATGGGTCAGTGCCCCCAACGTGTCCTTATCACTAGTCTCTAGCAGAGTAAGAAAGTGGGGACAATATGTGGGTGGTTTTCATTCAGCTTAATTACCCACAATTTAGAGCAAGCAGCCCTGAGATGTAGTTGAGGTCTCTGTCTCTGGCATGCAGTGGTAGAGGAAGGAAAGTCTATTTTGCAAGATGCCCCACCCCCTTGTTAGTTAGCACTGCCCTTTACAAAGTTCTTTGTATCAAGCCAGAATACACTGTGTGTGTGTGTGTGTGTGTGTGTGTGTGTGTGTGTGTGTGAGTGAGAGAGAGAGAGAGAGAGAGAGAGAGAGAGAGAGAGAGACTCTGGGGTTTGAACTCAGGGCTTTGCACTTGCAAAGCAGGCGCTCTACTGCTTGAACCACACCTCCAGTCCATTTTGCTCTGGTTATTTTGGAGATGCAGTCTTGTGAATATTTTGCCTGGGCTGACTTCAAACTGCTATTTTCCCAATCTCAACCTCCCTAGTAGCTAGGATTACAGGCGTGAGTCACTGGCACCCAGCTCAAAATATACCTTCTTGAAGTTTCCTTCCATGGTTGCAGGTCTTGAATTTGCAAACACTTAACATACGTTGCCTCCTCTTGGTCCTGAGGTCCTTCTCTTGCTCTTCAGTTTGACTGCGAAAGTTTATGGTTCTAAGACTGTGCCTCATACTTAGATGAGGTCTGCTCTATAGAGACAACACTGACATCGAGATTCTGTATTTCGGATCATGAAGCCTGTCACCTGAGCTTTTAAAATGAAAGCATGTTCCTCTATTGGCTCGCAGTAGCCTTGGTCCTTTTCAGACGCTGTTATCAAGTTACATGTCTCTCTCTCAATCTTGGATGTCTTGCTTTTTTTTTTTTTTTTTTTTTTTTTGTCTATTCATTTTAATCCCATTGTTTTGAGTAGAACCATTTATTTAGATAACTTCTGGGTGTTTTGTTTTGTTTTTGAGACAGGGTCTCACTGTGTACCTTAGGCCGGCCTGGAACTTGATATGTAACCCAGACAGACCTTGAACTCATAATTGTCCTGCCTTTACCTCCCAAGTACCGGGATTACAGGTGTGGACTATTACACCTGATTTTTACTTGTTCTTAAATTGTATTTATTAAATAATCTTTAAGGTCACTAGAAATATGGAATGGAAAATACATTTGACCTATGTTCATAATTTAGAATTTTTATGCTCACGCTTACCCTTTCTTGATAGCTTTTTTTTTTTTTTTTTTCAGTACTAGGGTTTGAACTCAGGGCCTACACCTTGAGCCACACCTTTTCTGTGATGGGTTTTTTTTTACAAGATAGGGTCTTGCAAACTCTTTTGCCCAGGCTGGCTTTAAACCCCAGTCCTCCTGATCTCTGCCTCCTGAGTAGCTGGAATGATAGCTGTGAGCCACGTGTGCACAGCCCTGATAGCCTTGGTAGCTTCTTCTAAGCACACAAGCTAAGAGTCCCTTGTCTGTCCAGAATCTTATTTTTTCACCTGTTCAGCTTGTTTTCCATTTAAGCACTGTGTTTGAACTATGCATTGGGAGGCCCAGAGATGGGTTTCTCCCTCTGTTCCTTTTTGGTCTTACATGCTGACCACTGCACAGTCATCTCATGAAAAGTATGCCTAGCATTTGGATATAAACTGAACATCAGTAAAAATATAACTTATCATCCACCTCTAGCAAAGCTGACCAAGAGAAAAAGAGGAGCTAGAAATTGCTGATATCAGGAATTTCCACTCGTGGTACAGACATATAGTTGAGAGGGAGCAAGGCAAGTGAACAGACAACATGCTTGTCTTGTTTTCCATCTCAGGAACAAGTATGATGCTCTCTATTCGCATAGTACTGGAGGTTCTAGCCAGTACAGTAACGGAAATAAAAGAGCTGGGTATGTGGTTCATACCTGTAGTTCCAGCACACAGGAAACTGAGGCAGGAGGATCACGCATTTGAGGCTAGCCTGGGCTACATAATGAGACCTTGTCTCAAAAAAGAAAAGAAAGGAAATAAAAGATACAGGTCGTAAAGAAGAAAGAAATACAGCTGTGTATGCAGATGACATGATTATGTACCTAGGAAACTCCAAAGAATCCCAGAAAACTCCGAGAGCTAATAAATGAGTTTAGCAAGGTTTCAGAATAGAAGCTTTACCTACAAAACAAGTGCATTTGTGATTTTAGAAATGATCATGTGGAAACCAAAATTAAAAATTCAGTACCATTGACAACCTTTTCCAAAAATCACTTGGAAACCTAATAAAGCATGTGAAGGACTTGTCTGATAGAAAATGCTGATAGAAAGAATTAAAACTAAACAAGTGGTGATTTACTGTGCTTGTGGACTGGAAGACTCGACATAGTTAAGATGCCATTGCTCTCCAAACTGATGGACAGGTTTAATGCAGTTTTCTTCAAAATCCCAATAGAATTTTTTTGTAAATATAGGCAAATTTACTCTAAAACTTATACAGGAAAGCAAGGAATTAGAAGAACTTATACAATTTTGGGAAAGAAAATAAAAAAACTCAAGTGGCAAGACTCGGTCTACCTGAGAAGGCTTAGTATGGACCTGCAGTCAGTCGTCTAGACTCTGGTGTTGGCAGAAAGACACATTTACATTAGTGGAACACAATAGAGACCCCAAAACTGAACCCACGCAAGTGCCGGTTTATTGAGAAATAGTTTTACATGCACAGTTCTATGTTTAGTATATTTACAGTTGCATGATCATCATCAGACTAATTTTCTTTTTTTTATGGCACTGTGGTTTGAACTCAAAGCCTCACACTTGTGAAGCAGGCACTCTTAGTGCTTGAGCCACTCCACCAGCCCTTTATTTTGTTTTTTTGAGACAGGGTCTGACTATGTAGCCCAGGTTGGCCTTGAACTCACAATCCTCCTGCCTCAGCCTCCTAAGTGCTGGAATTGCAGATGTGCGCCACCCACACCTGGCTTTACAAATGTTAGAGCATTTTCATCATCCAAGAGAGGAATCTTGAACCTATTAGCAGTCGCTAGCTATTTACCCCTAGGTCCCCCCAGTCCCTGCTACCCCAATTCCTGTCTCTATGGATTTGCCTGTTCTGCACATTGCATAAAAATGTAATCATACCATGCATAGTCTTTTGTGACTGGCCTTTTTCATTTAGCAAAATGTTCTCAAGGTTCATCTGTACAGTGTATATCAGTGTTTCACTCCTTTTTATTGCCGTTGCCTTTTTATTTCATGGATTTAATTTTATTTATCCATTCATTAGTTGATGGGCACTTGAGTGCCCTACTGATTTTGTACAAAGGTGGGAAAGCAATTCACTGGAGGAAAGGTAACCGTTTAAACAAACAGTGTTAAAGCAAATGGATATCCACAGGCCCAAACAAACAGACGTTAAACCACATCGCACACCTTAAAACTGAACCACGCCGCGAAGAGACAGAAGAAGTCTTCATGATGCAGGGCCAGGCAGAACTCTTAGATTTGACCGTGTCACGATTCAAACCTTGTGATCTGTGCAAGATCTTTTCAAAGTGAAAAGACAGGGAACGTACCAGGAGAAAATATTTGTGAGCCACGTCTCTGGTAGAGGACCAGTACCAGAACATGGAACCCTCCCAATGCAGCAGTAGAACAATGAGCAAATCCAGTTAGAAAATGGGAAAAGATAGACATACTACCAGAGAACATACACATGGCAAATATAAAAAGAAGTTCCGTATCACTGGCGAGTCAGTAAAAGCAGATAAAAAGCACAGCGACGACGTGACACTGTACACTAGCTAAAATAAGTGATGACACCCAATACCAGTGAGGATGCTGAGAAACTGGATCACTCATATTGCTAGGAGAAGTGGAAAGCCATGGAATACATTTTGACAGTTTCTTAAAGGAAATAAGCAAGCATACAACTAAATATGACTCAACAGTTTCACTCCTGAGTACTTACACCAGAAAAATGGAAACTTACCGCCACAAAAAAAGCCTATGCATACATGATGGCAGCTTTATTCAGAATAACTCCAAGTGGCAACAGCCCAAATGCCCTGGCTAAACAATGACATATCTATACTACAGACCACTGTTCAGTAATGGGGGGAAAACCTGAATATATCTTCATAAGACTTTGCTGAGTAAAACAGTTAATCCCAAAAGCTGATACACTGTATGATTTGTTTAACATTCTTGAAATGATGAAATTACAAAAATGAAAAGCAGATGAGTGCTTGGCAGGGATTAAGAAAAAGGTACTGATAGGAAGGAGCAAAGGTGCAGCTGTCAAGGGAGCAGGGACCCTCATGGTGGAAGTGTGTATCTGGACTGTCACAGTGTAGTTCATACTGACTGATTCTGCACGTTGTTACCACTCAGGGAAATGAGGCATATGTAGTATCTCTGTATACCTTGCAACTTGATGTGAATCTGCAGTTATCGCAAAGTTTAATTCCTTTCAAATACTGCATAAAAGCTCAGGCTGCAGAAGCCAGGCGTGGTGGTGCACATTTATAATCCCAGAACTTGGGAGGTTGAGGCAGGAGGATCTTGAGTTCCAGGCCAGCCTGTCCTACATAGTGAAACCCTGTCTCAAAAGAAAAAACAAAAGCTTCATAATATGCAGGAAAAGAAGAATGAAATCTGTGGACTTAACTACATTTAATTTTAAAATAAAGGAGTTATTAAATAAATGTTTTGACTTTAACCTGATAAAACCATAATTTAAAAGAACTGGGTAAAAACAGGAAAATATTTTTTTGCACTTGAGAATAAAAATTGGGCTGGCAGAGTGGCTTAAGTGTATAACACCTTTCTAGCCCTGAGTTCAAGGTCCTGAGTTCAAACCTCAGTACCACCAAACAAAAGGCAAAAATGAATTTAAAATATTTAATTGGAAATGATGTTAGGAACTAATATTTATTGAGCACTTAGTATATACTAGACACTTTTCTAAGTGTTTTACATGGATTATTTCATTTATGCTTCAAATAGTATTATGAGTTAAGTATGCTATTACCATCATTTTACAGATGAAAAAGCTGAAGCATAGAAGGGCTAAGTAACTTGCCAAACATTGCACAGCCATTGAGCGGCTGGTCTTGGATTCTAACCCTGATGAATCAGCTGGGCACCAGTGGCTCACGCCTATAATCCCAGCTACTTAAGAGGCAGAGATCAGGAGGATCACAGTTCAAAGCCAGCCTGGGCAAATAGTTTGCAAGACCCTATCTGGAAAAAACCCATCACCCAAAAGGGCTGGTGAAGTGGTCCAAGGTAAAGGCCCTTAATTCAAGCACCAATACCGCAAAAGAATGAAAAAAAAAAGACCTTCTCTCTACACTGTACACTGTGCTTTAGTACTCTCAGAAAACCAAAAACTGGTTTTCTAAATAAAAAGTTTACATTTTGGAAAACCTACTGAGAATAAGACAAAAGGAGAATGTATACCAGATACAGTAAATACTGTTCATATCAAAAGAGATTACCAGGAACAAACTGGTGAGCAAGTTGAAAATCTGGGTGAAAACAGTTTTGTAGAACATATAAATAACCAGATCAACACAAGAAACAGGACTGGTGGAGTGGCTCAAGTGGTAGAGCCCCTGCCTAGCAAGTGTGAGGCCTTGAGTTCAAACCCCAGTACCGCCAAAAAAAAAAAAACCCACAAGAAATAGAGCTACATTATCTGGTGTTTGTTATTCTGCTATCTTTTATTCTAAATGTTATTTATTGTTGGACATGGTGACACACACCTATAATCCTAGCACTAGGGAAGCTGAGGCAGGAAAGTTGCAAGTCAAAGCCAGCCTGAGCTACATAGTAAGTTCCAGGCACTATACTTTCAGGTTTTCAAAAGTTAAAAGATTAAAAAGATTTTCAAAAGTTAAAATTTAAAAAGCATATATACAGTGCATTTGTACCTACCAGAATAGCTAAAACAAAAAACTGATGATATCAGGTGTCAGCAAGGATGTGGAGCACTGCATACACTGCTGGTAGGATGAGCATATAAATTGGAAACCACTTTGGAAAACTGGCATTATCTTCTACAGTAAGCATATCCCATGATTTGGCACTTCCTTTCCTTTCTGTATACCCAGTTGAATTGCAGATTGTCCAAGAGACAGCTACAAGCCACTCTTTTCATAGTAGCAACCCGTAAGTGTAAACCCAACGTCATTGGTAGAATGGGCAATAAAATATATAGTCACCCAGTGCAGTACAGTCAGGGTAGGGGGAGGCTTTCGGTTGGAGCACACAAGCCAAAAGGTGCACAACGGGTTAGAAGTGGCAATGAGCAGTCTCCAGCAGCAGAATGTGTTACAGGAAATCATAAATGGGCTTCTGGGGGCAAGTGGAGGCTTTATCCCAGAAGACTGGGAGTGGCTAGCCTGGATTCCTAGCAAGTAGTTGTGTACATAATTTTGCATTGTTATATATGTTTTAGGTGACATAAAAATAGAAAAGCGGATGTTCTTTCTGGAAAACAAGCGGCGACATTGTAGGTCCTATGATCGACGGGCCCTCCTTCCAGCTGTGCAGCAAGAACAAGAGTTCTATGAGCAGAAAATCAAAGAGATGGCAGAGGTAGGAAGACACGCTTTGCTTTTGGAATAAGCTCTACCACTGAGCTACACTCACTCCGAGCCCAAGATTTCCATTTTCTTTCAAGTGATTTAATTACATAACAAGTTTATAAACAGAAAACAAGACTGGGTTATAATGATATTAAAGTTTGCATTTTCATAAATCAGATTGATGTTAGAGAATTTTAATTGGTACTTAGTAATGTTTCTGTTCCACTTCTCTCAGGCTCTAGTGGTATAAAAATCGGAGAGGGCTACCATTTACCTCTTCAAGATTTTTCCAAATGTATTAGCATAGTGCAAGTCAACCAGAATATAGATACATTTGTTGTTTCATAACAGCACCAGGTGACACTTCTAGAGTGACACCAGGTCTTGGGTTCCTGAAGGCTTAGAGGTTCTGTTAGGCCACATCTCTTCTAACAATACTTTTATCATTGTATTAAGTTTGCATCAATAGAACAGCAAGCACAAAACTATCAGTAATCATTGTCTTCACCACCCCACATTCATATTTTCAGAAGTGCTACTTTCAGCTAAGTGTGATGATGTACCCTGTAATTTCAACACTCAGGAGACCAAGACAGGAGGATCAAAACTTAGAGGCCAACCTGGACTACATAGCGAGATCCTATTTAAATAAAGAGTATAAAATCAAAATAGTAATCAAAAAGAATTAATGTAGAAGGTAACACACATGCATAGGAAATTAATGTGAGTCAACTCCCTGTATAGGTATCCTTATCTCAACCAGGAACACTTGTTCCTTCCTATTATTGCATATACTCTCTCTTCAACAAAATTAGAGATAAGGGCAAAGTAGTTTCTGCTGGGTATTGAGCGGGTGGGGGGGAGAGGGAGGGGGCGGAGTTGGTGGTAAGGGAGGGAGTAGGGGCAGGGGGGAGAAATGACCCAAGCCTTGTATGCACATATGAATAATAAAACAAAAAAAATCAAAATAGTATATTTTTAATCTTTCGTGTGTGTGTGTGGGACTAAAGTTTGAACTCAGGGCTTCACACTTGCAAAGCAGGCTCTCTTCCCACTTGAGCCATACCTACAGTCCACTTTGCTCTGGTGATTTTGGAGATGGGGTCTCTTAAACTGTTTGCCCAAACTGGCCTCAAACCACCTTAATCCTTCTGATCTCAGCCTCTCAAATTGCTAGGATTATAGGCATGAGCCACCAGCGCCCAAAATATAAAGTCACTTGAAATACTCTGGTCATGCCAGTAACTTAATGAGCAGCTAAGTTATTCCTTTCTGTTTATTTTTGGCTTTTAGGGAATTGGCTTTTCATTTGCTTATCTTTTGTTCTCCAGTTTTGTATAATATTTTTAGTTTAAAAGTCAAAACTCTAAAATAAGGAAGGTCTGGAGATCTAGCTTGTATCCTGTCCCTCCTTGCATGTTCTTTCATTCACTCTATATCAAACCATTGTTAAGTCAGTTTTGGTTTGTTTTACATAAAAGCACGTGTGTGTGTGGTTTTACTTGTTGCACCTGCTTTTTATTCACTTAACGGTTTGTTGCAGTGGTCGCTTCATAACAATCTGTACAAATTTTTCTCTTTCCACTTTATTTTATTTAATTTATTAATTATTAATTTTATTTAATTTTTTTAGGTTTTTTTTGTATATGTGTGTTTTCATAATGCTTTATTTTTTTTATTTGTTTATTCATATGTGCATACATTGTTTGGGCCATTTCTCTCCCCTACCCCTACCTTCTCCCTCTCTTCCCTGTTTTATTTATTTTATATTTAAGTTTATTTGACAGTACTGGGACTTGAATTCACACCTCCAGCCATATTTTGCTTTCGTTATTTTTCAGATAGGATCTTGCAGTTTTGCCTGGGATTGACCTCAGACCACTAGGATGACAGGGTGTGCCACCATGCCTCACTGTTTTGTTATTGTTGAGATGGGTTCTTAAGGACTTTTTGCCCAGGGTTGGTTTCAAACACTGATCTTCCTGATCTCCGCCTCCCAAGTGGCCAGGATTACAAGTGTGAGCCACCACCATCGCCCCTCAACTCTCCCCTGCCACACACATAGTATCTTCCTCTTTAAAGCTCCTGTGGTGCCATTGTCTGTAGTACCAGAGTTAATTTAGTCACTTTCTTATTGATCAACATTGAGGGTTATTTCCAGAGGGAAGGAAGGGGAGGTGGGGGACAGGGTCTTGCTTGTGTAGCTCAGGCTGGCCTCAAACTCATGTTCCTTTTGTCTCAGCATCCCTGAGTGTTAGAATTACAGGCACTTACCACCACACCTGGCTCCAGGATTTTGCTATTGTAAATAGTGCCATGGTAAATAAGTTTGTACAAGCATCAGTTCATATTTCTGCCCCAAGGCATCTTTGGGTCAGATTCCTAGACATGATGTAGATGAGTCCAGGCCAAGCCTTCCCTCATGATTGTGCTGTTCTACATTCTCACCAGTGGTAAGAGTACCTATTGCCCTACAACCTCACCAGCAAGCTTGTGTTTCACCTGTTCAGTTTTTTGTTTGCTTATGCTGTTCTTTGCAATTAAAAAATGTTTTATATGTTAGTCTTTCCCTTTTTCACTCTGAAAATTTGTTTTCAGGTAACTTCTTAAACTACTAAATTATGTAACTGAAGAGATGGCAATTGATGATAGACTTATGTTTATGGAAATAAATATTAAATGATTTGTCTTACCTTTACTAAATTGGTATGTGACTGTATGATTTTATTGTTGTTTCTCAGCATGAAGACTTCTTGCTTGCCCTGCAGATGAATGAAGAACAGTATCAAAAGGTTGGTTTAGTTTGGTTTGGTTTGGTGGGACTGGGGTTTGAACCCAGGGCTTTGTACTTGCAAAGCATGTTCTCTACTCCTGGAGCCATACCTCCAGTACTCAAAAGGTATTTTGAGATCTCACCCACTTCATTTATTCTGGTTGTTCTCATGGGCTTTCCTTCAGCATTTTGAAAGCAAGCTTTTCCTGTATAACCTCCTTCTGAACTGCTGAGTTTGAAGTTCACCCACATTACATCCAGGTACAGGAACTAGTGTAGGTACTCTTTAATACCAGACCAAATCAGAATTTAAGGGAAGGTAGTGATAGAGAGGTTCTTGTAAAAGGAAGCTACTGAGAATGTGCTGGATAGACTGTTTGCAGAAAGCATAAGCCAGGAGTGCTGTGTCTGCTGTGAGCAGTGTCTGCTGACTTGCATGTAGTGACCTTTCTTGCATGGCTCAGAACAGACTGTGACTGGATCTGTCACTGCAGTGAATAAAGAGATTAAATCCTAGTATGTGAGGTGAGGTCACTAGTTTAGTTAGCTTCTATAGTCCCTTAAGAATAAAGCTCAGGCTGGTGAAGTGGTTCAAGTGTTAAGAGTGCCTGCCTAGCAAGTATGAGACCCTGAGTTCAAACCCAGGCTGGGTTATGATGGCCTCGCATCATAACGAGAAAAGCAAGATGCAGCTTTTGAAAGCTTTTTGGATGACGTCTCCTGCCACCTACCCCTTGCTTTTATAGTCATGTTAGCATCTAAATACAGATGTTACATTCCCCCAGTGTCGGGAAAGTGATGAATGCATGGCTTCATACAAAGAATTACTACAAAGCACACCCCAAAAATGTAAAAAGCTCACTGTCCTTAGCCACGGGTTATGTTGTACTGGTATCCTGAGCTGGGCTTTTTATTGGTTCATTTCCTTTATTTGAGATAGTGTCTTGCTATGTAGCCCAGGCTGGTCTTGAACTAACAATCCTCTTGCCTCAGCCTTTCAGGTGCTAGAATCACAGGTGTGCACCATCATATGTAGCTTCTGAACTGGGTTTAGATAGCAGAAAACAGTTTGTTGTTTTGTGGCTTATAGAGGTCCCTTTTGACCTCAGAATGGTCTGGGGCAGGGAGGTGTATGGAGTTATGAAACAAGGCCTCCCCTGCACACAAGTGTGGAGTGTAGGATATTCATGTGTCTCTGATGCCCTGCAGGATGGCCAGCTGATTGAGTGCCGTTGCTGCTATGGGGAATTTCCATTTGAGGAGCTGACACAGTGTGCCGATGCTCACTTGTTCTGTAAAGAGTGTCTCATCAGATACGCCCAAGAGGCAGTCTTCGGATCTGGAAAGGTAAGAACTGTGTAATATCCATATGTAGGAAATATTCACACACTGAGGTGACCATGCTGATAAACAGATGCTGTGTTTTGAGGGAAATAGGTAGAATGATGCTGATTTGTGATGTGTGTGGACTGATTTGTATGATTGTGTTAGTTCTGAGAACAGCAGGTTTCTTTTTAGGGAGTAAGAAGAGTTTTCCATGCCTCTATACCTAGCACCACAGGACACCTGCCTCATCATTCACCTTCCTGTCCGTAGTCAGAATAAAGGACGAGCTCTCAGAGAGCCTTCGCCTTACTTGAGTATATGGCAGTGTGTCGGCAGGCTTCACACATGCTTTAAAGGATTTTATGGTTGGATCAAAATATGTAGACATTGAAGTAACCTTAATACATGATCTTATTTCTCTGTCCAAAGTCAGTTTTTCTTAAAACCAGGATAAGACAAACTGTGGAAAGGAGTTCGGTACTGTTTTACACTACTGCATCAGTGGTACCTTGGTCCAGTAGCAACAGAAAACTGAAATAGCAGGCTGGGCATGGTGGTTCACTCCTCTAATCCCAGCTATTCACAAGGTGAAAATAGGAGGATTGCAGTTTGAGGCCAGCTCATGCAAAAAAGTTAGTGACACCCTATCTGAAAAACAAACTAAAAGCAAAAGGACTAGGGGTGTGGCTCAAGTGGTAGAACACCTGCTTGTCAAACCCCACTACCACCAGCATGGCCTGTCTAGCATCACCAGTCATGAGGTACACCAGCATCATATATTTCTTGGAAGTGTACTGAAAAATTGCAGTTAAGTGCCTAATTTCAGTCTAATCCTGAGACAAATTCATATTGAGAAACATGCTATACATGTGCTCAGTTTCCAGAGGCTTTCCAGATCCTGTACCTTGGGTTCTTAAGATAGTCTCATTTCGTAGACAGAATCTGATGTGTGTGTGGTACTGGGGACTGAACTCAGAGCAGCACTCCACTTCAGCCATGCTCCTCATAGACCTAATTTAAGTATGAGCAACTGTACAGAAATGTGATTGAACAGGAGAATGATCTGGTGCTGATAGACTGGGGAAAGTCAAGAGTACCTGTCTGTTCAGATTCTTTTTTGCTTCTTTGTGCAGCATTCCTTCCTCCTGGGTAATGGGGCAAGATCCCTTCTGCAGTGGGGGTCTTACAATCTGCTATCAGATAAAGAAGTTCAGAGAATTGCTTTATGGCCAGCTCTAACACAGAAGGGCAAGGATGGATTGGAGTATATTTTTAGCTTCTGTGGCCTACCTGTGGGAAACAGGAGAGCAGGAGAAGGTCAGAGAGACTTTGCTTTCTGAGGCCTAAAGGGCCCCATCATTATAACAAAAGACTGTCTTCATCTTTATTCACTCTGAAATTGTTTCAAATCTGCTTTAGAAACCAAGGACAAAAGGCCAGATTCTTTAATCTTACTGTTGTAGCCATTTAGGAAGTAACAAAGGCCAGGAATTACAAGTTAGAAGCCATAAGTGAAATACATAGATGATAGTGTCGTCACACAGACACAGGTCAGAAGAAACAAAGGAGAGGTGGCAACTAGATGCCATGTGGGATCCTGCTCCAGAAAATACATCAGTGGAGAACCTGGTGAAATCCACGTAAACCCTGCTTAGTTAATACCCTTGCACTGATGTTAACTTCTTGTTTTGATTATGATGTGGTTAATGTGTTAACATCCTCATGTTAGGAAGCTAGGTGAAGAGGATTCAGAAACTCTATACTAGTTTTGCATCTTTCTGTAAGTCTGACATTAGTTCAAACTAAAAAAGCTTTGTTTTCCAAAAAGTATGACCTTTGGAGTTAAGTAAAGAACATTGGATCTTGGACCTCCCACTTGCTGGCTATGTGATATTAAGCAAATTTTTTAAATTCTAAGCATCAGCTTCTTCCTCTGTAGAAAGGAGATGCCCATAAGGTTGTAAACATTCAGTGAGAGTATGTGTTTAAAGAATGTGTTATCAGACTGGTGGAGTGGCACAAGTGGTAGAGCATCTGCCTAGCAAGTGTGAAGCCCTGAGTTCAAACCCCAGTTCTGCTAAAGAAAAAGAAGAAAAATTTATTTTCTGACATGTGGTAAATGCTACATAAATTTGAGCTATTTTTTTAATAATGTCTTTTCTCAGAAGTTGCTTTGGCATCTGTCTTCTGGTGAAAGTGTTTCTCAGATGTCTGGCACTTCTTGTTCGTATTAAAGAAGCTGTTTTAGAGTAGTGAGGCATATAGGCAGGTGAATTTAACATTAGGTGCCTGGATAGCGTTGTTTCATGTTGTGAACCTGCATAGCAGAGAGGAGCCCATCTTCCAACATTCTGGGGTTGAACGGGAGGAAGGAACTGGAGAATTCCCTTTTCAGTATGCAGGCTTCACTTGAGGCCACTCCTCAACTCTGCCCTCCCCTGTGACTGGTTCCCTTCTGATCCAGCTGTCCCTGAGCCTACCGATACCATCTGAATGGGGTAAGAGCTAAAGGCCCAACCAGTGCCCCCATGTCTTATTTATTCCCACTCCCTCCTCACCACTCAGCTCTGCTTTCCCAGGGAGTTTCTAAGTTTGTAGGATCCAGAGAGGGAAGGAAGCAGCTTACTCCTTTGCAAACACTGAGCCTTCTTTCTCTGGTCCACTACACCAGGTACCCTTCCTCCAACCGCTTTTCCATCTTTGTGGACTGTAATCTTGGCAGCTAGAGGTCCTCTGCTAGTACCAAATGTGGACTTTGTGTTTCCATTTCACAGTTTCCTCCTTAGAAGAGGATGTGGAGAGATGTTTACTCTGCCACTTGGACCACTGTTTGCCTTCCATTGAAAAGTGCATTTGAGCTCAGTGGCTTTTTGCTACTCTGAAACCTTGATTGACTTTTCTTTGTTCTTTGCCTACTTATTATTCTAGTCAGAGCTCAGCTGCATGGAGGGGAGTTGCACATGTTCGTTCCCAACCAGTGAACTGGAGAAGGTTCTTCCCCAAACCATCCTGTACAAATACTATGAGCGAAAAGCTGAAGAAGAAGTTGCTGCGGCCTATGCTGATGAGCTTGTCAGGTGAGTTCTCAGACAACTCTTTCCCAAATATGAGGTCTGCCTAAGTGCTTTTGGGTGACAAACTTCTGTAACAAAACTTCATTTTCCTGGTTTTCTGGCACTTCTTGCTAAGAAATAAGGTAGCTGGTTAATTTTATGAATAGAAAATTCTATAGATTGATTCTTCATCCACATTCCTTGCTACTTCCTAATCTTTTGGCCTGTAGGTACCATCACTGTCCTTAGGTTAGAGAAAAAGTGGCATGTGCAGTGAATTCTTGGAAAGGTTGGGACATGTGTTTACTGAGTGGTTGACACTGAGTCAGGACCTAGATGGCACCTGTGTTTCCTAGTAAGAGCCAGTACAAAGAAGAGGCTCAATCTATGTTTTAATGAAAACTAAGGAGTACAACATACTGTGGCTGCCCAGCTCAAAATGACGTACCAGCAGTCCCAAAAACCTTGTCAGACTTGAGTCTTCTGAATGACTAATGCTGCCTCTGCTGTCTGACTCCAGGTGCCCCTCCTGCAGCTTTCCTGCTCTGCTGGACAGTGATGTGAAGAGGTTCAGCTGTCCTAATCCACGCTGTCGGAAGGTAGGCAAGTTTTTTTTAAATATACTGAATTTTGGTATTGTGAGCTATCCTGATAGCCGGTACCGTGTATGCTGTCTCTGCATGCTGCTGCTTGAGAAGGGCTTGAGTGCTGACCGTTTCAGGAAAGCAGAACTTTGTGCTGGTAGTTTACCTGATTACAGAGATTGAGCCAGTTGGGATTCTAGTTACAATGCTCTGGATCCCTGTTCTGTGTCATCTTCTTAATAAGGACAGGTGCTCAATATAAAGTGGGAAAGAAAGGTTTTAGTTTTCTCCCTACTGTGACCTTTTTCTTGGTCGCCCCTTTCCCTACCCTGTGCTCAAATACTGCCTCCCTCCACACATACACTTCCTGCTATTTTCAAGACCAAGCAACACGTGGGCATCTTGTTGGCTCTCTCTCATGTCTAATAGGTTTCTCATTTAACTGTTCTCATCATAAGAACTGACTATATCAAGTGAGACCAGAGCAGTGCAGTCACCTTTGTGCTGCAAATCTTTCTTCTCTTTATCTATGCTTCTACTCTGAGCTAAGACTGTCCTAAAATTTGTCAACTATTTATAAGCCATTGGAAAGTTTCTAACGAATGTTGGCATCCTCTTAGACTAGATGTGGTTTGGGCCGTTTTTCTAAAGACCCATGATCAGATGTGAATATTACAGTGTCTTGGAGAGCAAAGAACTTGGGATAGAGAATAGGGAAGGAAAAAGAAACTAAACTAGTGAACTAAAACTTTGTTTATTTATGAACCTTATGTATTCTTACAACTGATGGAATTGTTTAATAATTTGCCCCCACCCTATGCTGTTGCTTTAATAATGTCCTAATAGTCTCTGGCATCTTGGAGATAAGAAAGCATAGTAATCGAATGTCATTGTGTCAGATACTGCAGTGCCTAGGAAGGTGATGCCTGAGCTGAGATTCAGAAAGGAAAGATAACGTATCTGAAAGGGGGAGAGGTGAAGTGAAGGTGGAGAGATATTTGAGGCCCCAAAAGTAGCAGCAGCCTGAATATTGACTGATACCAGGAATATAGAATAGGCTTATGAGCTTGGTGGGGGCAGGCCTTACAGGGCCATGAGCACAGTTCCTAGGGGCAGGGAGAGGTAAAGTATCAGGAAGATCTGTTAAGCTGTCATGTAGCCCAGGTGAGAAATGTACATCGCTGTCTCCTCCTGGGTTATCCATGAATTGCTTAGAAGGAACTAGAAACTACATTTCCTGGTATGATTCCAAGTAGAGAAGGCCAGTGAAAATGCTAACGTACCATTTGGATGGTCAAAGAGCAGGGAAGGCCATTATTCTCCAAAGATGTTTATTTTACAAAAGCCAAGGGGCCCACATGAGTCTGAAACAGGCATCTGATAAATGTGTGTTTAGAATATCACCTTGGGATGTTAGTGGGAACTTCCCAGAGGCTCTTAAGAACCCACACAGGAACACCAAATATTCTGCGTTCTGTCTGTGGGAGGAATACACATGGGCTATTGAATTTGAAAGTAGCCATTTTAGTTTCTTTTGGCCAATAAAATGTGTGATCTAGCAGGTCACTTCCAGAAAAAGCCACTACAAACAAATGCAGTAGTGGAACTAGCATACACTCATTCATCATTGCCCTCCCGAGCTTAGTGCTGAACAGCAGTAGAAAATTCCTTTCTCCCTTGGGAGTCTAGCATTCTGCTATGGAATCTGACATAATCTAGATGCCTGGGACCACCAAAAACAAAGACTTCTGGGCAACTTGTGCTGCTCCAGATGACCATAGTACAGTAGACAGAGCCCAGTAGACCTCAGATGCTTCTCCTCTAGGTGATAGGAAAAGAGAAGGGAAGAGCGATCATTATGTCAGCATTTCAGCTTCTTCAGGGGCTGCCTGAGGGACTGGTTTTTATCTTGCCCAACTCAGAGTGCTGACAGGACTCAACACACTCTAGGTACCTGGGAGCTGCTGAGACTAAAAGAGAGCTGGACAATTTACAGCAGCTACAGAGACCCTGCAGTACTTCAGACCAGACTCTCAAAACAAGAGGTTTTATATTCCTGGGGAATAAACTGCAAACCTCCCCAGTTGGGAATTTACACACAAATTCAGAGAAGACACATCGAAAAACTCTGGAAGGTTCAAGGAGCTTCCAGAGTCTCCCAAGATGATTGGTGAAGGCCTTTGCCTGTACAAAGTCAGTCTGTGAAGGCTATGAAAGGTGGCTGTTTTTCCAAATGTGCAGGTTCAAACACAAAAGTAACAAGGCTTACATACATTAAAAAAAGGAAAAACTGGCCCAACCAAAGGAACAAAATAAGTTTTCAGAAACCAACCCTAGGAACTGGTGGAGTGGCTCAAGTGGTAGAGCACCTACCAAACAAGCATGAGGCCCTGAGTTTAAACCACAGTGCCGCCAAAATAAAAAAACTTAAAAAACAAAAAAAGAAAAAAGAAACCAATCCTAAAGAAATGGATGCATGTGAATTACTTCACAACAATTTCAAATTAGCAGTCAAAAAGATATCAAGCAAGCTTGAGAAAATGATGCATGAATGTCATCAAAGAAAAGGAAAACACTGACCAGATGTGGCATCTTAAGCCTGTAATCCTAGCTACTCTGTAAGCAGAAATCGGGAGGATCGAGGTTTGAAGCCAACCCAGGCAAAAAGTTCCTCAAGACTACATCTCAAGTAATGGCTGTGGTATGTGCCTGTCATTCCAGCTACATGGGAAGCATAAATAGGAGGGTTGTGGTCCAGGCTGGTCTAGGCATAAAGTGAGTCCCTGTCTCAAAAATACTCTAAGCGAAAAGGTCTGGGGCATGGCTCAAGTGATGGAGTGCCTGCCTAGCAACTGTGAGGCCCTGAGTTCACCCCCCAGTACTGCCAAAATGAATGAATGAATGAGTGAATAAACATACTTAAATGTACCAAGTTTTGGAGCTGCAGAGTACAAAAACTAAATTAAAAAGCCCACTAGAATGATTTAGCTGCAGACTTGACTAAGTAGAAGAAAGAATCAACAAACTCATTTGAAATTATCTAGTCCAAGGAGCAAACAGAACAAGAATTATGAGAAAAACCAGGCATGAGTCACATACCTATATTTCCCCAACACTCTAGAGACAGCCTGGACTACATAACAAGACCCTATCTCAAAAAAAAAAGGAAAGAAAGAAAGAGAGAAGAAAAGCCAAGGGACTTCGGGCTATCATCAGATCAGGCAGACCATTAAACACATTTGGGGGTGGAGAAGATATCAGGAGAGGTGGCTTCAATAAGCAGAAGACTTATTAGAAGAAATGATGTCCATAGACTCCCCAAATCTGAGAAAAGTAATGGACATGCAGATTGAAGCCCAGCAGACCCCAAAACAAAGACAAAATAGGCATAGTGGCACATACCTGTAATCGCAACACTTGGGAGGCTAAGGTAGGAAGATCATGAGTTTGAGGCTAGCCTAGGCTTCATAGGGAGTTCCAGGCTAGTCGACTACATAGCAAGACCCTGTCTCAAAGGAAAAGTCAGAGAATTTTGAAAACAGGAAGAGAAATACAACTCATCAAATACAAAGGCATATCCATAAAATTATCAGTAGATTTATCAGCAAAAACCTTATAAATTAGAAGAGAGTCAGATAGTTTATTCAAAGTGCTAAAAGAAAAAAAATTCCAGCTAAAAATACTGTATTTGACAAAACTGTTCTTGAAAAGTGAAGAAGCCAGGTATGGTGGTGCATACCTGTAATTCCAGCACTAGAGAGGTGAAGGCAGAATGATCGCAAGTTCAAGGCCAGCCTGGGCTTCATTGTAAGAACCGGCTCTCAAACACAGGTGAAAAAAGTGAAGGAGAAATTAATACAATCCCAGATAAGCAAAAGCTGAGAGAATTCATCATAACTAGACCTGCCTTACAAAAATGCTAAAGAAAGTTCTTCAGGTTGAAACAAAAAGATGCTAAATAGCCACATAAAAGCTCATGAAATTACAGAGAACGCTGGCAAGTTAACATACTGACAGTTCCTGACCTAGAATCTTTCAACTTTATGATGGTGTGAAAGTGATTCACACTCACCAGAAACCATACTTTGAGTTTTGAAGTTTGATCTTTCCCAGGCCAGCAAGATGTGGTATGATGTTCTTGTGATGGTAGGTGGCACAAGCCACAGCTTCCAGTTAGCCATGGATCCATTAGGGTAGGTGGCAGGCACTGTACAATGTGCTGTGTTGCTGACCTCCACGCCCAGTAGGTCAGGTGCATTGAATGCACTTACAGCTTACAGTGAGTTTGCTGGGATGTGACCCTATAGTAAGTCAAGGAGCAGCTTTACGGATACATACATACAGAATTCTTCAGTACCTTGTGGTCATGCATAAGTCATCTTTAACTCTAGCATAGAGACAAAGTAAAAGTAACTATATAAAAATATTATTGATGGATTTGCAGCATAAGAAGATGTAATTTGCAATGTCACTCACAGTGGAGGATATATAAAAAAGTAGCATATATACAGTTAAAGTTGTTATCAGCTTAAAAGATTATTTTAAGATTATGCAAGATGTCTTATGTAATTCCCAAGGTAACCACAAAGAAAACACCTGTAGAGAATACACAAAGGAAAATGAGAAAGGAATCAAAGCATGTCACTACAAAAAAAAAAATCAAAACAGAGGAAAACAGGAAACAAGGAACAAAAAGCTACAAGACAGATAACAGCAAAACAGCAATAAGTCCTTCATTATCAGTAACTGCTTTAAATGTACATGAACCAGACTTTCTAGTCAAAACATACAGAGGAGCTGAATGGATTTTAAAAATCAAGATCTAGCTATATGTAGTATATAAAATTAAGCCCCTGTTAAATTTATAAACACACAAAAGCTTAAAAGTGAGAGGACAAAAAAGGTATTACATTAAAATAAATGATAATCAAAAGAGAGCAGGGTGGCCATACTTAAGTCAAAAACTATCATAAGACAAAGAAATGATGGTAAAAGGGTCAGTTTACCAGGAAGAT